TTGAGTTGATCGCCACCCTGGCAACAAGTGAATAATGAATAGGCTTGGCAGTCTTTCATCATGAATAGTCACTGCTTGCATCACTTGACCTTTACAAAGTTTAAGGAATAGGCCCGCCATGCAGGGTGACGAACTAAGTATTAATGACCTGGCCGTCTCGTGCCAATCCAGGCACGGCGGGAGCCACTCAACGTCTGGTGGATCAGGTATCCTCTGAGTTGGCGATGCTTATCAGAGCAGGCCAATCTTCATATATTTTGTTTTGGAACCGCGCCAGTCTGTGCGACTACGTGCCCGGTCCCCATCCGAGAAGACGAGAAGTGCCCCATTCCAAACACCTGAGCTGGGCACGAGAGGTCAATGAAAGTACCTGTCGACCCCTCACCAGCATGGTTCTAGAAGTCCATCCTGGCTCGCAGCGCTGCGCTACCCCTGAAATTATACGCATACAATACTTGAGGAAGCATGCAGTTCCCCCGTATGCTGAAGAGCATGGTTTGGCACGTCAGATGCCAAGTCTGGCCAGTCCTTGCGTTATCCTGTTTGCGAAGGCAATACTAGTTCTATACTCTTGGTACACGATTCAAACCCAGGGCGAAGCTCCGTGATAACCCCACTAGCATGGAAATGGTGGGTCATTATGCAATAGCTCATGCGCCAAGAGGTAATGCAGAATCAATGTGGATGGTCGAGAGGGAGAAAAAATATTCATACCATATATTAGTTAGTAATACTGTAAACCGCACTGGCCACAGTGCGCCCCGTTCTGAAAGCGTCATGCTATCTAAAATTGATCAAGGATTGGATGATAGATAATGCCTTTCAGCTCGATTCAGCTCGATGCATGACTCCGCACAAAATGTCTCTCTTCCTTTATTGCCAACTTGCCTAGGCAAGTTAACGAGAGAAGTTATAAACCTAGAATGGAGGCAGCACGCAGATTACAAAGGACACTAAACACGACGGCCCATATTATAGTAATACGCTTCCACTGTAACTACTCAAGACCCTTTTTTTATGAACAGAAAAAGAAAGAGTGGAAGAAGACAGAAAGAAAGAAATGAAATAGTCCAAGTGGACCAGGGATGCCAAGTCCCATCTTGTAAGCTTACCCCCTTGTCTTTCTGACTCGTAAAAGCTTGCCAAGACGATTAATGTTCGTAGAGAACGTGCAACATTTAGACAATCGGCATGACCGAAGCTTCTTGGCTGGGAGTCCGCTGTCATGTGAGTGAAGAGCCGTCTCAACGCTCTAGTGCAAGGTAAGCATACGGACCAAGCATTCCCATGACTGGGGAGGTAGGTAAAAAATAGATATGCATATTTAAATGCGGCGAAATCCCCAACCAACGGAAAGTTTGATCATTGTATTCTTCGCTTATAATTACCCTTAACCTTGTGTTGTGTAGCCACTCTTTCAACTAGCACCCGTTGCCTACTTTAAACTCCCATTTCCTACGGACTTTTAACGCACAACATGAAGTGCACTGCTTTGTTAGTTGCTAGCTTGGCCGGTCTAGCTGTTGCGAGGCCCGCTGCTGAGTGTCAAATCAATCGACAAACTCTCAAGCCGTCTTCAACCGCAGCTACCACTGCGACGGTAGGGTCTGCGAGCCCTCTAGCAACGGAAACGTCGAAATCATCCCCAGTGAAGCAGAATGCATGTGATTGCTCTAAGCCTCATGTTGACGTCGGCGCCGCAACACGTGCAAGTTGCCCTAATGGCTATGAGAACGTCTCACCAGCTTGGATTCTCCACTGCGTTCAAATCGATTGCTCTACTCGTGATTACGAAGCAAAATGCAGCAGCAACAAGCTTGCAACTCCTGAAAGCCACCGCCAGCCAACCAAGCCAGCCCCCGCCAATTCTGATAGCGGTTCTCTGAAACCCTTCAAGGAGCCCGCATCTCCTTATAATGTCGATCTCTGCGGGCTCTTGTGGGCGATTGGAGAAAATAAGAAAAAGAAGTCTGAAGAGTGCATCGGTACGGAGAGGTTTTGCAGGGAGGCTCTCTATAAAGATACGGAAGAGACGTTCGCTAGCCCTGAGGATTGCCTTGCTAGTCGACAGCCTAAGAAGACGGCCGAAACTGAGGAGCTACCAAAGGACGAGGCCCCAGAGTTGCAAGAAGATGCGGGGACTTGTTTCGATGCTTTAGATAAAGTATTCGTGCAATGCCGGGAGCGCAAGCAGGACGACTGCCGGAAAGGCAAGGCCGACGAGCAGCAGTGCAAATCAGAGGCCGACGAGCAGTGCCTTGAAGAGACGCAAGCCGAAGCAGACAGATGCAAGACACTGCCGGACTCTGCCCCGGGAAAGGAGCGAGATCCTGCGAATAATCAATAATCAAGCCGCAGAGAAGTCAGAAAGGCAGAAAAGCGACGACCACTGTGGACGCTTTAGTGGTCGTTGCTTTGGCGATGATGGAGAGAAAAAGTCCGAGTTTAACTTGGCAGTGAGGCGCTGCGTTGGTCGGCTACGCAAACATGCATCCTTGGAGAATTTCCTGGCCTGTGTAGACAATACACAGGCTCGTGCTGTATATAAATTTGCATACGAGCCTGATGCTTGCATTATCAATGCGTAGCAATGTGCGAAAGAGTTGAAAGGAGCATCTGACGGGTTCGATAAACTCGCCAAGTGCACGAAGGACCGTACCAACAAACCTTAATTAACTGGCTGAGCCTCTGTCGCTTTGGCCCCGTCCAGGAGCGACATGAACTACGCGTCGA